GTGTGTGTGAGTGTGTGTGTGTGTGTGTGAGTGTGTGTGTGAGAGAGTGTGTGTGTGTGTGTGTGTGTGTGAGAGTGTGAGTGTTATATAGTTTAAAAAAAACATGCACTTTAAAGTAAATAATGTAACCACTCTCATTAAATGTAAAGATAGTTGACTAAATGAAATCCTGCAGCCCTTGTGGAGAAAAGTGCACTTGGGTGTAACGACTGTGTACTTGAAATCTTAAAAGTGCATTTTAGTATATGTTCATGTAATTCAAGATGACTTTATATAGGAGCCTATGTATCGCTCTCTATATTAAATAGAATAAAAATAATGAAAATGATATACACAATATTATAATTAAGTTGACACTATGATGACACGGAATAGCGTTTTAGTGAATAATCATATTTAGATAATTGTTTTTATTTCGTCTGTCGCTTTAAATGCGCCGCTGTGGGTCTCGTGGTGTGACGTCACGGCGCAGCTGACGGCAATGAAGCGCAGTTGAGTTAAGTCCGCCGGTAACCGCAGAGCTCACGCGAATCCCGTCAGTTTTGGGGCTTGTCACGGTCCGGTAGCGCGTGTATTAAACGTATGCGCTGTCGTGCGCTCACACTGACGGTCTGACGCGACTGAAGCGCTGTTTTAGTCGACTTCTGTCAATTCGCGCGTCTTTGCTCTTCTCTAACGGTTGTTTCTAACGGCCGCTCCGGGCGGAAGTGCGTCAGCCGCGGCTATGATCACCTCCACCCCGATGGAGAGCCGCTCCTCCGCCGTGCGCTCCTCCAGGCGGAGCGGCGCGTCTCCGTCCGGCGTCAGCCCCACGCGTCTGACGCGCCTGCAGGAGAAGGAGGACCTGCGGCAGCTCAACGACCGCCTGGCGAACTACATCGAGCGCGTCCGGCAGCTGGAGAGCGACAAGTCGTCCCTGCAGCTGCTGCTGGAGGAGAAGGAGGAGCACGCGCGCAGGGAGGTCGGGAGCGTGCGCCGCCTGTACGAGACCGAGCTCGCGGACGCGCGCAAGTCTCTGGACGCCACCGCGAACGAGCGCGCACGGCTTCAGATCGAGCTGACGCAGCTGCAGGAGGAGCACCGCAGGCTCACGGCCAGGTCAAGAGTTCAGCTACACACACACACGCACACTATACTACATCTGTACCAGGGTTCCTCAAATCTTACCCTGGAGGGCCAATGCGCTGCAGAGTTTAGCTCCAACCCTGATCAAGCTCAGCTATTATCTAATGATCCTGAAGACATTGATTAGCATGCTCAGGTGTGTTTGATTAGGGTTAGAGCTAAACTCTGCAGGAAAGTGGATCTTGTGGGCCAGATTTGAGAATCCCTGCACTATTCACACACTCACACACACACACACACACACACACACACACACACTCACACACATCGCATCCAAAATAAAAGTCTTTGTTTATATAATATATGTGTGTGTGTGTGTGCTGTGTATATTTATTATGTATATAAAGACACACACATACAGTATATATTTTGAAAATATTTACATGTATTTGCATTAGGGCTGGACGATATGGCCAAAATTTATATCACGATATATTTCTTAATTTCGGTCGATACGATATAATTCCGATATCGATATGAACACTATTAAAAAAGCCTTGTAAAAACTGCCAAGAACACCACAACAGATGTCTGTGCATACAAACTTATGAAAAATTAATTTGCCAAGTCTCTGACACCTCATATAAAACCATATAATACTTTAGAAGAAAAAAAAACAGCACAAATAAATTAATGTTCACCTTTTATCTGTATTTAATCTTCATACAAACAAAAATGTGAAATCACTGTCAAATAAACATCTCGGACTCACCTTATTAATTATTAATATCTTCTACCATACCAGTCAAAAGTTTTTGAACAGTAAGATTTTTATTGTTTATAAAGAAGTCTCTTCTGCTCACCAAGCCTGCATTTATTTGATCCGAAATACAGCAAAACAGTAACATTTTGAAATAATTTTACTATTTAAAATAACTCTTTTCTATTTGGAAATATTTTAAAATTTAAAATATTCCTGTGATTTCAAAGCTATATTTTTAGCATCATTACTCCAGTCACACGATCTTCAGAAATCAGTATAATATTCTGATTTGCTGCTCAAAAATAATTTATGATGTTGAAAACAGCGGAGTAGATTTTTTTCAGGTTTCTTTGATGAATAGAAAGTTCAGAAGAACAGCATTTATCTGAAATAGAAAGCTTTTGTAACATTATAAATGTCTTTATCATCTTTTGATCTATTTAAAGCATCCTTGCTAAATAAAAGTATTAATTTCTATAATTTCTTTCCAAAAAAGAAAGAAAGAAATCATACTGACTCCAAGCTTTTGAATGCTAGAGTGTATAATGTTACAAAAGCTTTTTATTTCAGATAAATGCTGATCTTTGGATCTTTCTGTTCATCAAAGAATCCTGAAAAAAAATATTGTATATTGATAATCAGCAAATCTGAATATTATACTGATTTCTGAAGATCATGTGACACTGAAGACTGGAGTA